TACGCCACGGCTGCTGCTGGCTGGCCGTGCACGCGGGCTGCAGGGTTCAGCACACCGTGCCCCTCGGACCCCTCCGTCACCCAGCTGTGGGGCTCAGGACGACGGCGGCACGGGTGGGGCATCACGCGGCATATAAATAACGGGTTGTACCCCACCAGCGGCTCAGAACCGTCACGAATACGTACGGACTCAGACGCACTCTCTCTCTCTCTCTCGGCACTCCGAGAACAGCGAGACAGTACTATTCGGATAAAGAGTAATATAAACGTCAAACGTTTTCAACTGTGCTTTCGATTTCGAACCGATTACGAGATACACGTTAACGAGACAGCACTGTGGATTCTTCTAGTAGAGCCTTGATCGGATCGTCGATCGGTGATTTGGTCCGAAACCAACGCAGGACATCCGCAAGAGAATCCACTCTCACTGGACTCAGTTATCCCTTGTTTTGTGACCAGTGACAATATAAAGTGTGATCATGTCACCGCACACGGGTTACACGCCGGTCAGCGGCATGGAGTACGAGGAACCAGTGTCGCGCACTTATCAGTACCGCAAGGTGATGAAGCCGATGTTGGAGCGCAAGCGACGTGCCCGCATCAATCGTTGCCTGGACGAGCTGAAGGACCTGATGGTCACCGCGCTGCAGGCTGAGGGTGAGAACGTGGCGAAGCTTGAAAAGGCAGACATTCTCGAGTTGACGGTGCGTCATCTTCACACGCTACGCGCCGCCAGGAGACTCACACTCACACCGGAGAATAGCTACGCCGACCGATTTCGCGATGGCTTCACCCAGTGTGCCCAGGAGGTATCAACCTTCCTGTCGACGCCGGTTGCTGCAGCGGTGCATCCCGCTGCGGGTGCTCAGCTCATGCGACACCTCGGTGGCTGTCTTCGACGATTGGAGGGTCCAGCTAACGCTAAGCATGCGCTGCCGACGGCAACCTCGGCGGCTGTGGCGAAGACGACTCAAGCGCCGACGAGCCAGACGAATGTGCCCCAGAACGTGTACACTCCTCCGCAGAGCCCTGTGAGTGTCGCGAGTTCGTCCGGTGAGTCTTCTGAGTCTTCCAACGCAGTCTGGAGACCCTGGTGATGAGGCAATCGAACGACGATGAACATCATCCTGAGATCTCCGGAGCAGACGAAGTGATCGAGACGGACAATCCAATGACGAAGGATCTTCCCGCTGAATGACGTCTCGCGAGGAGGAAAACGACAAATCGCTGTCTTCCAAAAGAAACTTTTGCGAAGCCTCATTGAAAATTCTTTGAGAACTTTTACTTCTTTACGCGGTTTACTTGGTCGCATGTACATAGGTGATTAAAGCTTTAAGTGACGTCTGTGATAGGGTTCCATTTTGTACCTGAGATGACTATTTTCTTGTAAAACATAGCGACTATTATATAGATGTTAACTTGTTATGTTTAAGAATCTTTTTCGACGTAATGCTGTCCGGCGTCTCCGTTGAGGCCGTCGGACAATATCATCATCATCATCATCAATAAACGTCTTGTTTCAATGATAAACGATATTAAATCATCACCCACACAATGTATTCCGCATCCTTCTCTTCTTTATATCTTCTTATAACGATAGAATCATAAGTATATGAAAAGGCTATATGATACAGCGAAAAACGCTATTTCATTCAAAGAGTACGCACACATTCTTGTTTATACGAGTAGAATTTAAAATGAATTATTGGATTTAAAAATTCATAAATTTATCATGTCGAAGTGTAATATATATACTTATTTGTGCAAATTATTATAGGTGTAAGCCAATTAAATGAAAACAAAAGAGAAAAGATCTATTACAAGTTTTTTATTGATTTAATAATAAATCAATGTTTACATTTAAGCTGATAATAGTGAAAAAGAGTCAATAAATATAAAAAGAGAAAAGTTGAGATTGACATTTATTTTGATTCATTAATTTAATTATTTATTAATTTAAAAAGCATTTTGTAGAATATGTTATACAAAAATAATTTGCATAATTTAACATAGTTATAGATTTTTCTCGATTTTCGATAATGGTTTTAATTAATCTTTTATTTTATTATTGAATTTTAAAAGTAACGGTCAACATTAGATATCGCAGGATATCACAAATCGTATTTTGTGATTGAGATATTTAATATATTTATGTAAAATATAATTTAATTTAACGAAGGAAAAAGAGTCAGTAAACATATTTCGAAATATAAAAAAAGGTGCTATTTACATTCTTTCACAATTATTATAAATGTTTATTAATTTGATCTAAAAGCATTCAGCATATACAAACATAATTTGTATAGTTCAATTAGTAACCGATTTTGCTTGATTTAAACGGATTTGATTAACCTTTTACTATATTTATAAATTTTGAAAATAACGATCAAGATTAGATATATATCGCAGATCGTATTTTCGCAATTACGAAATTAGTTGTTTGATCTATAGATAAAAAAGTTATCTTTTGGGATATCTTTTTATTTTATATAAAATAAATCGAGTATGTACGTATATATGATACATAATAAATATTCATGGGATGTAACTTTGGAATATTGGCATTAAATATATCTTGTTAACGCAAAGCTGTATTATAAAATTACTAAAGTCATAAATAGTGGAAGAGACGTAATTTATCATTAAAAGAAAAGGCGGAAAATGTGTTTCGTATTTCATTATATTTTCGTAATTCTTATGTCCATATCCAATTATAAAGATACGGTCTTGCCTGTTCTTGTGTCGCCAAAAAATCACGGAAGTTACGGTACAGGGGATGCAATAAGATTAAATCGCCTCAAATTGCACAGCACTGCAACGAAAACGCTACAGCAAGTCACCTTCGGCGCATGCAAAAGGCTGCAATGTTTGGCCGGCGACTTTAATCGCGCCATGCGACATTGCAAGAAATCGAAAACCGCCTGTCACCTGCCATAGCCGTCCGGGTACCATACCCGGAGGTGGCGAAACTGACACATGAATATTAATGCATCTTATGCGACTTAATACGAGAGCTTTCTTGCATCCCAGTCTTAAAACACGATTTAATCAATTTCCTTCATTCTCCACGGGCGTCAAAAACACAATGTCTGTTTCGTACACACACTCCACAGGAAGAGTAATCTTGCTCTCGCTTTTTTTTTTCCGGTTGACCCAAACCTCATGAAGTAATTATTTTCATTAGAAAACTCTATTTCTCTCCAATATTAATTAATGTAGTTTAAAACCGTTATAGGCTTCTTCTTCTAGTTTATTATTGTTTATCAATTACGGTCATAGAAATATTTAATATATTTGTTAATGTAGTTTAAATTGAATCAAATGGTTTGATTTGAAATCATGATTTAGAATTTAAAAGGAGGAATGATCTGCAGAAAAAATAAGTGAATGGATTGTCCCAAAAGTCATCGATCAATCGTGGCGATCGATGGGCGCAACGCTTTCACACTTTTTCGAGTCTTCCGTTCTGGTTGTATTTTTAAAGCGTCGCGTTAATTTGATTTTACGTAAGTGGGACACGAAAGAAAATTAACTCTTTCTTCTCCGCGAGTCCCCTGTCTTACTTTCCGATTAATGTACTACCGTGTTCCGGCGACCGCGCGATCGATAACGAGTATTTAATTGCCACACGGTGGCCGGTATATTTACTTAACATGCGTTTCGCGGCGGCGAATTAATTGACAGCTCTCGCTTTTTATATTTAACCGCCGCATACTCGCACATCTGCATCCTGATGTCTATCATCGCGCTTATACGTTTCACGGTCTCTGCAATATGCATATTCTTCTATACCTTTCCGCAAACTTATCATTAAAGGTGATGTGTCGTAACTTTAGCTTTATGATTGTTAATTGTGTGAGATAAGTTGACGCTTGGTGCAGAGAATTTACTATAGAATAAATATTTTTCTATCTTCGAGTTCGTGTGTTTCATCGTATCTTATGAACAGTGTCTTGTCAGAAAAATTTGAGAAATTTTCATATTGGAGACTTTTTTTCCGCATTGAAAGAAAAGACTAGTTCTTTAAATTGTTACAAATAGAAAGTTACAACTAATTTTAGAAACAAAAAGTTAATTCTCATGAATAAAAAGTAAGACGAGCGATGTTTCTATTATAGTAATATAAATTGCAGCAGTAATTGTTTTATTGCTTCCACAATACTGTTTCTTTAAAAATTTTGTACAACAAAATTTTATCGCTTCGCACGCGAACAGACGTGTCCCGACTTCTCATTCAAGCGCAATGTGTAACTGACAAGCGCACTACTCGCATGCGAATGATTGCAGTCGCAATTATTGAGATGTACAAGCCGCTCGTTAATTCACATGTTTAAATGTAACGAGACATAACATCGTGTCCAAATCATTAATAAAAAATTGTTTTTAACAGAATTAACTAAAACGTGTTATAAAAATTGAATAATCAAAAGAAATCGTTAGATAATTATTTTTTTATATCTTTATTTGTCTTTTAAATAATAATAAAATATATAAAAATAAGCAGAATAAACGATGCATCAAATTAAAATGGAATACACTAACGCAACACAAACGTCCTAATCATGTATGAAATATTGAAAATATGCTTAGAAAGTTGGGATAAACGTGGTTGCATAAGATTGTGAAATGCAAGTCGACGTTTGCCGGTAGTTCAAATTTCGACGATTTTTCAACTTATAAATTATCCGTAATGGTCTATCGAAACGTAAATTGTTGCTATGGTGTAAATACTTCTGTTATTTTTTCGCGGTATTTAACTTCACGATTTCGCAATTACACATCAGTAATTTTTTTTTAAGATCGGTTAAGAAGATATTATTACTTCCATGTTTTTGCGTGCGTTTCTCAAAATGTTTTCCCCACAAATACATTCCCATACATGTTACAAGGAAATGTTAATTCTCGTTATCAATGAAAGTATGAAGGGTATCCTTTTCTGAGAATCCATCATTACGATCTCTCGGCAATTGTAATAATCGCGAATTAATTGTTATGTTTCAGGTGTTTGTGGCCTTGTCGTCATAATGCTGACAGCTGTTGGCATTTGAATAGTACAGATTGGTATGTACCTTCCCTTTTACAAATCTCTCTTACGTTCGTGCACGTGCTATTTTCTAATACGTATAAAGATGCTTATGTCATGCATTGATGCGATCGCGAAGCGTCATTATTCGGTCTAGACGGATCGGTCTCACTCCGTGGCTGCTGTTATGCAGAAATTGCTCAGCGATGTAATTGCCAGTGCGATAATAACATTTTATAGCTTTATGTTTTGCAGCATTATATTTTGTGACCTTCAATTTTTATGATTCTCATCATATCATATATTGACGTTGTCTTACTATGCAACTTTTTTATTAAACGTTCGGAAGATCGATTAACGAATATAAATTCAACAAACTATTCTTTTTTTTTCTTTTTTTTTCAAGAAAAATATATTAAATTTACAAATAATTTTGTCAAATATACGTATAATAATTAAAAATACCCATTATATAATTCTCAAAAAAATATTACATGAAATTTCAAGTCAATATTTTTATCAAATACACAATGATAAAGAATATCCAAAGCATGTTTTGTAAGAATTTTTGAAAATTTTTGTGATTTTTTTCATAAAAATTGATGTAAGTAAGACTTATTTTTTATCAATTAAAAAAGTAGGTAAAAGTAACAGTTTTTGCTTTGTGGAGTTGTTTATATTAAGCATTTTACATTGTAGAGTTAAACGGGATTTAAGATAGAATACAGCGATAAGGTATTTTTCGGAGAGAAAATTTTCTGGCAAAAGTTTCGTTCAAGTTAACGTGGCTACTGGCGAAATTGAATTTTAATCGAGTTTTACACATTAATCTTGCTTCTGCAATAAGTAAGTCGATTTTATCTGCAGCTGCTTGTAACTAATAACTTGTGGTTACACATATATATGAATATATATCTTACAATATATTTATAATATATCTATATAAGTAGCGGCCACTACGATGCTGCTCAATCATGCCCCTAAGGTCTGAGGAAACTGGTCATACTTTATAATTGCGGTGAAAATTTCCAGAAAGTATCTCTTTATAACAACAATAATAACGATATGATCGGAATGTTTCGGTAATTAAGTCGACATATGTATACATGAAGCTCAGTCAATCATAGCAAATTGTAATTCTTAACAGGCCGTGACATGTTCGTCTCTAACAATTCCGCTTCTTGGAGATGTTCGGTAGCGGTATTCTGTACCGTATTAACGGTATTCATTGGTACCTTAATTGTTTAAAGAGGTCCACATTACGACAGCAGCGAATTAACATGATTTTACGATTACAAATTACGTAATTGCATTGATTCGTTGTTACCGTTATTTGAAACAAGATTGTTTAAAGAGTTAAAGAGATACCGATGTACAAATGTAAAGGATGTTGAATCACTCGAAGTGTCAGAGTTAAATTGCCGTCCGTCATGACGAATCCTTTGTTCCCCCTATGTGTTGCAGGTTATTCGAGATGGATGTAATCGTATATAATCAGCACGAAACTAGTAGTATTGCGAGCAGCACTGATGGCGCCGAGACTCAGTACGATGAGGAGAGCGTGCCTGATCTCGATATCGACGGGGATCTGCTATCGATCGATGGTGACAAACGGAATAAACTGCCCTTCCGCAGGAGCCTATTCGATAATGTGCCGCCTTACATCGCCTTTCAGTCTTTTGACAGCAAGACTAGTGCGACGCTGCCGTACGAAGTGACGAGACATCTTAAGTGGCATCTGACTACAGTAACACCGATATTAGTGCGCCGCACCGTTGTGAATTCCGGTTATCGGTTAATGAAAAAATGTCGGTATTGGTGCGGCACTTGGGGCAAGCACATGAAGTCCACCTCCTACAAGAGTTTGAAGGAGTCGCAGAAGGTCAATCACTTTCCCGGCACTTTCCAGATCGGCCGGAAGGATCGACTGTGGCGCAATCTTAGCCGGATGATGATGAAGTACGGCAAACGGGAATTCGGCTTCGTGCCGCACACCTACGTGCTACCTCAGGATATGCGTATGTTCCGCCAGGTGTGGGAGAAAAATGGCGACAAAGAGAAATGGATCATTAAACCGCCGGCGTCTGCCCGTGGCACCGGGATCCGTGTAGTCCACCGCTGGTCCCAAATACCAAAGAAACGCGCCGTCGTCGTGCAGCAGTATCTGTCGCGGCCAATGCTAATACGAGGCGCCAAGTTCGATCTGCGACTCTACGTGTTTATCACCAGCATTAATCCGCTTAAGGTTTACATATATCCAGATGGCCTTGTACGCTTCGCTTCCGTCAAGTACAACGACGATATTAACTACCTCAGCGATCGTTTCATGCATCTCACCAACTACAGCATCAACAAGACCAGCGCGACTTACACCAGTAACGACTCCGTGGATTCTAGCACCGGTCACAAGTGGACCCTGAAAACACTGTGGTCCTATCTCGAGCAAGAAAATGTAAATGTTGCCAAGATATGGAAGTCGATAAAGGATATAGTCGTCAAGACGATGATAGCTGGCGAATCTTCTATCAACACTCTAACGAGAGCCAATACAACTTCAAGGTAAGAAGATTTCTACGATTGTTAAATTTATTTTGTGATAAAATAAATTATTCTTTTTATTGTTATACGTTTAGTGCTAACATTTTTTAGATTTTTACTGTTGCAAAATTAAATAATAAAAAAATAAAATTTTAATATGTTGTAAATATTTTCTTTTAAAAGATTTTAAGGTAAAATGCTCGATTTCCTATGCTGAAATGTGATTGATTGTTCATGTAACTATTTTGCTTATGTATTCCACTGAATATCCTTCTGATGTGACATATTTTGTTAAATCCTAAGGTATTGTTGTTACGAACTTTTTGGCATCGATATTATTTTGGACGAAAACCGAAGACCGTGGTTACTCGAGGTGAATATATCGCCCTCTCTACAGTCTTCCTCGCCTCTCGACATCGCGGTCAAGGGGCCCCTCATTAGAAACCTCTTTAATATGGCCGGATACCAACTGCCCACATGCATACCGTCGGAGGAAGTGGAGAAACTAGCCCAAAGATATCGGTTAGATTCGGTGTGCCAAGATTACAAACTGCACCGAACTACCCTTAGCTACCAGGAACGTCATAAACAATCCTTATACGCAAATTTGAGAAATCGGGAGGATTATCTGGATGAAATAATCGATGATCTTACTCCTGATGATGTAAGACATTTGATTACATATGAAGACGAGTTAACACAGTTAGGAAATTTTGAAAAGATTTTTCCTACTATCGTCAGCCACCAATATTTGCAGTATTTTGATGTTCCGAGATACTACAATATGTTATTTGATGCATGGGAGGCCAAGTACGGTGATAATCGGGAGGAGGGAATCTCCCGATTGCAAAAGCTGTGTAAGACCAAGTATCACCTAGAACAAGTCTTTTAAATTAGTTATGCGCAACCTGCGATTTGTGGGCTGCATGAGCCCATTTGTGAATTTTTTGCGGTTTATCAACTCATAGCCAAAAATATTAAATCATGTTCTCTATTTTATTCAAACGAAATAAGCATTGTATAGTCCGCAAAATTTTATCCATTTCTGAAAATGGCCTTCTGAAAATGAACCCTAAAAAAGGTTGCGCATTACTGTTTTAGATAGTAATCTTTTTCTTTTCATACGTCATTTTACAACGATGGTACCGACATCAAAGAGACGCAGAGCTGCGACGTCATTCCCGTTATTGACGCCTTATCGTGTGGAATCCTTTTTGTTTCGCATGCTATGCGCGCTTTGTTGTATACGGGTAAACGTACCATTTCCATGTCCGTTGGTTCACCAAGGACCAAATTCATTATGTGCCTTTTCCCACGGTTGTGCGAATTTACTTTATTGTAATAAAATTTGTCTTTAATAAACGATTTTTCACTAATTAGACGCGGGATTATTAAAACCGCATTACTAGCCATTCCTCTCTTGCGAATTAATAATCCTTCGTCCTCTTTCTCCCGTTTAAAAACAGATTTCTCAAACAAAAATTGTTTGGCTAGAATGTAATAAATTTGCAATTATTTTAGAGATACAAATTTATTTTTATTTTATTATCAAAAAAGAAAATTATTGTACAAAATTACATTCAAGCAATCATAAATTAGAAATTTATTTTGAATTACAACTCTTGTTGCGAATATTTTTAGTTTTAACTTAATAATTTTATAAACAGGCTTTACAGGTGAAGATTCAAAATCAAGCGTGTATAGAGGTAAGCGAAGAAATTACGTTATTTGTTTATTTTTGTTTTAATACGATATCTATATTTTGTAAAAGATTGTTAAAGATACTCGTAAAAACTTTAAGACCCACACAAAATTTATCATTCATGAATTTAATAAAATACTGACGCCGTGAATTTATTTCTTCGGTCAGTTTAATTTCTTTAACGAAATCAATGTATATGGTATGAAAAGCTCAGTATTGATAAAAAACTTGTCTTAAATTCAACGAGAAGAAACAAATAAGCATGAGAGCCCTAAAGAAGGGGGACATTTCGCACGGAATACCTACCACGGTGAATTGTTGACAAGTCATCGTACCGAGAACGACGAGATGTTCGCCTGAATGTTGAACGCCTAATAGCGACTCTTACGAGGGTTGTTCGGCCGTGGCGATAATAAAAACTCAAAGCCGCCGATGAGTTTTTGTTGTGTAGCGACCGTACGTAATTTTCAGTAACAAGAGCAAAGTTGCCCGACACCTGCTCTGGTGACACAGAGAAATGACATGACCTCTCGCTATCTCTTCTCCTTAATTTATCCAAATTCACAAAATTTTAATTAACAAATAAACATAGACATTGTCTAAAAATCTTTTTTTAATTCTTAAAATAAGAAAAAAGATAAAAAGTAAGTTTAACCGAGATTAAAGTTAATTTATATTGATAAAATTAATTTAAAAAATTCATTAATAATGTTGACTTCTATCAATTTAGATTAATTTAAATCTCGATTTAATTAATCTTTTTTAATTTTTACAACTAGAAAAAGATATAAAGAGTAAATTAAATTGAGATTAAAATTAATTTTATCAATATAAATTAATAGTAATTTTGATTCGATTGATTTTTTATCTTTTTCTAATTCTAAGAATTATAGAATGAACAAATTAAATCGAAGTTAAAGTTAATCTACATTGGTAAAATTAAATATTATTAATAATATTAATTGAATATTATTAATAAATTTGTAACATTTTTTTAAAGTATGTACATACGTTTGGAGCTTACAGCTGTACGCGGAGTCGTTAGTTACAAACAGCCAGATATAACAGTGAGACGAACCGTCCAAGATCTACGCGGTTTCACGGCTGTAACCACGCCGGGTTTAATAAATCCGTACTGACAATTTAATGTCTCTATTGTGACCGCGACAGTCGGCGGTTCCAACAACTGCGCTTGATTAGGTTAATACGAAAGGGGACCAGATTTCTTCGCTTCCGCCCTTTAAATTCAATTACTGGTCGGGTACTCCGTCACTTAAAATATCATATATCAGTTTTGTCCGGAGGAAGTATGATCCGTGATAGAGTGACCAAACCAATTGTCTTCAGAAACGAAGACAAGACAGAAGTTTGATTCGCTCAAATCTTCCGTCTTGCTAAAGGATAATTATACCAGTACTTACATCGCGAAGATGATTAATGTTTTGAAATAATATTAACCTTCGACATTTTTTATACATGAATGCAACAGAAATATTTTTTATATATTGTAAGATAGAACATGTAAACTGGTGGTCTACGTCAAATATAAATTATTTTATAAATATTCGAAGAAAATAACAACGTATACTGGCGTTACTTTCATCAAATTCATTTCCTATCTTTTTTCTTTGAAAAAAAATTATAAGATCAACGCTCTCTAATAATGATTGATAATAAATATAATAATTATCTTTTGAACGATTTGAGAGACTCTTGAGCTCCAGATTTCGGAGGCGAAATTATTCGAGGACGATTTACATGGTGCACCGGTCAGGGGACACCCTACTATCGTTTGGAGACAATGGGCTCCGCTCGGTGCCACGACGGTCAACGAATTGATATCGTTATTGTAACGACATAATAGACGTATTTTCTTATTGAGATTGTAGCCCCGCATATGTGTGTGACGTGCGCGCCAAGCCAGCCGGACCCGTCTTTATGAATGTATTCATTCATGCGAGTGGCCGCGTGTGCGTTATGTAACCAACACAACGCAGATAGCACGTAAGGCTAAGGACCCCGTTTCTTCTATGTGAGGACAGATCTCAAGGAGACCCCCGCCGTTGGGAATACGGGACAGGTAGTTACGCACGTTTTTACATCGCCATCCATTAACGAGGTTAAAACTCTTTGTCTACCTTGCGTCCGACTTTTCGTCCGAGGCTCTATCCGACCCAGAAAAAGCGCGAACTATATCCGGAATAATGATTTTACATCAGTTCCAAGAATTGTGCTTGAAGCACTTTGGTCCATTTCGGATGATCAAATCGAAATTATAAAATCGTCTTAATTGAGTCATTAAATCGCACACACATACGTATATATACGCACGAATTGCGCTTTGTCATTTGATTAAATTGATACGGCGGTTGAATTCCTAATCAAAAGTTATTTCGTGGAAACGTGGTTCAGAATTTAGTTCGTTCGCTCCAGCGACCAAATTATATGTGAGTTAAAATATATGCCATCGTTCTATAGCAGTCTATACTTATTCAAAGGAAATGTAATAGCAGCAACTGTAAAAGCGATATGCAAGTTTATATATTGAATTAATGTACCTAGTTGAATGTACTTATAATATATTACAATAACTATAAAATAGTTTAATCAACTATTTATTTAATTCTACATCTTGTACAGTTGTCTTTACAGTTCTTTTTGCTGCCACTGTAAGTCATTTTCTCTGAACGTACTACAATAAAAAAATATATTTTCATGTCTTTTATTATTCTATATCAGTGTTTTTTTTTTTTTTTTTATTAAGAATGGAAAAAAACATGAAAATTTGCGAATATTCGGATTCTAAAAGCGACGTGAAGTAATTTGCAACCATCAATGAATAGTGATTTCAATTCTTTCCATGCCGATTAGATGTTCGATCCTTGTTCGTGAACTCCGCGCGTGACGATGTGAAGCGCGATTACAATATGTCCTCCGCACGTGTGCATAATTAGTGTGTCATTTATCATGACCGTTGGCTCGACTATAGAGGTAGTCTCGTACGATCATCCAAGGCCGTTCTCGGTCCACGAGCCATTCTAATATCACTTTACTACACAAGCGTATATAGTTTCGACATTACCGTGTATTTAACTGCGGCACGTGTTACATTCCAGTGTTACGCAATTATTCACGGAATCATGTCTCGCGTAATTGTGTTTTTCTATCCACATTCTTTTAATCCTTTGGAGCTGACAGTAAATCTATTGGACCTACTCAAATATAAATCTTTATTAAAAATTTCAAATAATTCAAATTTTTTTTATGTCATTATATCTGCGAATTTGGATTATTCTTATTAAATATACTTATATTCATTTTTTTTTTTACACAAGTTGTCGTTTTGATTGCTTGAAATTAATTAGTACCTCTTAATTGATATAAATTAAACGAGTCTTATAGATCCAGCATCAGTAATTGTATTATGAGCTTTGTATAATAAGTCATTACCGGAGCTTTAAGTCTTAAGCCATACGAAACTGATCAATCATATTCAATTATTCTCCTCACGTTCAACTGTGATTGGTCGATTTCTTACGTCTAAAACTTAAGTTTAGACAAAGACTCATTGTAGAAAACCTATTATAGATTTTGGCATTAGATCTGGAAGATAAAACGGCCCCTAGATGATCAATATTATTGGTTGTCTCCAAATTGTTTATTTTAAATCGTCTAAAGGAGACATTGATAATATTATACAAAATCATTGTACGTAATATTGAGCATCTACTTAGAGGCTGCTTTAAAACGTCCGAACGTGTAGACGTATTTATAAGGAGCTTATTTGGCTGTTTTTTTTTTATCTTAAATATTTTTAAGAAAATTTTCAATGATATATTTCATATTTATATTTACGCCAGAGATGTCTGAAAATAAGACACGAAAGGCGAGATTATCTATTATATATTGTTTATTGTTATTTGTGCGCGTATCAATCGCGGATTAACGGCGATTCGTCTTCCACCACTTCTGCACGAGCGAAACTCGCTTGTGCGCTCGAGGAACGTACTCGACCCTGGATAACGACTTAATAAACCGGCAGCCGCCACTGGGGTACGAGCAGGGGGTACGGGAGGGGAACGGCCGCGGTGCGGGCGGATGCGAGCACGTGGAGCGGCGCGGGGGCATCGCGGTAGTCAGGTGCGTCGCGTGCCCCCCACCTCCGTCACGTAGCTAACTCGTGCTTTGTTTTGAGAAGGCTTAAGAGTGCCCGTTCCCACGCTTCCGCGCGCGTTCTCCTCCCGTGCCTCGTGTCAAAATTCGTATTCGAGATACGGCGGTCTCCCGATTATCTCTCCCGTTCGTCCATCCGTTTGAAATTTCGATCGCAGCCGAGGATTTATTCCTTCACGATGCAGTCACGCGTGAAGACTAGAATCTTGTAGATTGTATCTGCAACGATTAGAAATCGTTATAGTATCGCATTGTATATTCGGAGAAAAAAAACAATGCACACATATAAAAAAATACAGTAGTAAGAACTATGCAAGTGATTAGTATACAAATTTTATTTTATGTAAAATTTATGTACTTAATTGAATAAATTATTTTATAATTGCAATAATTATAACTGTAAAGTAACTAAAATAATTTATTTCACTTTGTGCTTT